GGGTCAGAGACGAGATCAAGAAGGAAATTACCAAATTTTTGGAACAAAATAATGATGAAGACATGCTGGGATACCACAAAGGCAGTCCTAAGAGGGAAATTTATAGCACTGCAAGCCTTCCTCAAGAGAACAAAAAGAGAGGAAGTTAACAACTTAATGGGGCATCTCAAGCAACTGGAAAAGGAAGAACATTCCAATCCCAAACCCAGCAGAAGAAAAGAAAACCAAAATTAGAGCAGAATTAAATGACATTGAAAACAAAAGGATTCTACAACAGATCAATACATCTAAAAGTTGGTTTTTTGAAAAGGTCAATAAAATAGATAAACCTTTGGCCAACCTAATCAAGAAAAAAGAGTAAAATCTACAATTTCATCAATCAGAAATGGTAAAGATGAAATAACAGCAGACCCCTTAGAAATTCAAAAAATCCTTAATGAATATTACAAGAAACTTTATTCTCAGAAATATGAAAATCTGCAGGAAATAGACCAATACTTGGAAACACTTCACCTTCTGAGAGTTAGTCAGAATGAAGTGGAAATGTTGAACAGGCCTATATCAAGTTCTGAAATAGCATCAACTATACAAAATCTCCCTAAAAAGAAAAGCCTGGGATCAGATGGCTTCACATCAGAATTCTACCAAAACTTTAAAGAGGAACTAGTACCCATATTACTTAACCTTTTCCAAAATATAGAAAAAGAAGGAATACTACCCAACACAGTGCATGAAGCAAACATCACCTTGATCCCCAAACCAGGAAAAGATCCAACAAGAAAAGGAAATCACAGATCAATATTACTAATGAATATTGATGCGAAAATATTCAACAAGATCCTAACAAACAGAATCCAGCAACACATCAAACAAATTATACACCACAACCAAGTGGGTTTTATCCTAGGATCTCAAGGATGGTTCAACATATGAAAATTTATAAATATAATTTATAACATAAACAAATTAAAAAACAAAGACCATATGATTTTCTCAATTGATGCAGAAAAAGCTTTTGATAATATCCAGCATCTCTTCATGATCAGAACACTTAAGAAAATTAGTATAGAAGGGACATTTCTTAAATTGATAGAGGCCATCTACAGCAAACTCACAGCCAGTATCGTATTGAATGGAGTTAAATTGAAATCATTTCCACTCGAATCAAGAACTAGGCAAGGTTGCCCATTGTCTCCAATGCTCTACAGCATTAAAATGGAAGTTTTAGCTATCGCAGTTAGGGAAGAAAAGGCGATCAAGGGTATCCATATAGGATCAAAAGAGATGAAACTTTTACTCTTCTCAGATGATATGATTGTATACCTGGAAAATACCTGGGATTCTACTACAAAACTCTTAGAAGTGATACAGCAGTGTCTCAGTTTACAAAATCAACACATATAAATTGGTAGCCCTTTATATATACCAACAACAAGCAAGCTGAAAAAATAATCAAGAACTCTATTCTGTTCAAGTAGTGCCAAAGATGAAATATTTGGGAGTTTACCTAACAAAGGATGTGAAAGATCTCTATAAAGAGAACTATGAAACTCTAAGAAAAGAAATAGCTGAAAATGTTACATTCATTCGCACTGAACAAACATCAAAATCAATTTCTAGATTCTTTATTTTATAATACAAGTCAGTGTATTTTATATACAAAATCATTTGTATACATACAAATATATAATACATCTACAAATAATATTTACAAAATATATAATACATACATTAATATGCGTTAAATTGCACACAAACTTTATGGCTGTCCTGTATATACAAGCACATATTTCCCTGGAATATAAATCCAAAGGAAGTGATTAATCAAAGATCAAGGATGAAGAAACCAAACAGCCTCTCTGTACTGGCAGCTCCCTACTCATTTGCCACCCCTGAAGTTGACGTTCTCCATCTGTCTGCCTCCTCTATATTGGCATTTAGGTCTTTGGAACAGCAGCTGCTGATATGGTTTACATCCCAATGAATTATTGTGCCCTAATTGTTTCTAAAATTGTTAAAATAGCAATATTATTGTCAATGAACATGAGCACCATGTAGTCTCTAAATAAACTCTGCTTTGAGAAGTTGCATTTTCTAGTGTACAGATGGGGTGCTGTGCACTAGAAAAAATTTACGTAGAGCATAATTTCTTTTGTTCTTTTTATTGCATGTCAAATTTGGAGGGATGTTATGTGCAAATTCTATGCTGTTTTGCATTAGGGACTTTGATATTCACAAACTTTGCTATCTGCAGGGGTCCTGGAATCAATCTCCAGGGATGCTGAGGGATAACTATACTTTATCAAGGTTACAGCTGGTAAGAAATCGAATGCAAGCTTTAGGTATATGACTTTGAAACTGGTTTGTAAAAGAATACTAGGCCAGTTAGGGTCACAATTTGGCTCTTCATTTGTGAGTTTATCACACACAGTTTATCGATATAAAATATTGCTTTTCATTGCATATATAGTTGTGTATCAATTTGCTTATCTTTATGAGAAAATTAGCTGAAACTAAGCAAATACGGTTATTATCATGAAGCAATTCTTCTTTCCAGACATATGTTTGGAATACATCATATATTTGACATTATGCTGGCCTCTAAGGATACAGAAGTGAACTGACATAGTTCTTGCCTATTAGCATAAACTATGCTATATTAAGGCTAAATAAAATGACTATTCATTAAAAAATAGATATGCTTCCTAAATGAAATATACTTGCATGCATCTGATAACATAGCCTTAAAACAGATAAAATAAGGTAGGGCCAGTGGCTCAAGGAGTAGGGCGCTGGCCCCATATGCCAGAGGTGGTGGGTTCAAACCCAGCCCCAGCTCCTTCCCCCAAATAGTGTAGCTGCCTCTATAAAAATTTTAATTATTTTGCTTTTAAAACTAAATAATTTATAGTAACTTGTAGGTAGTTATAAAATTGGCTATCGAATGCTTAAAGAGTTCAAGTTAATATCTGTGATTTTTATCTGAGATAAAAGCAGTATTGAAATCCAATAAAAGGTAAAATGAAGAATGGTATTTGCTTATAGATACATTTATTTAGTACACTAATTTTAAAACATAAACATTGAGAAATTGTAAAAAGTACTTCATTGATTTCCTAACATTTTAAATTGCGGAGTAAAAAATAAATATTAGTCTTAGGACTTTATAAATGTTGCTTTATATTTTTAACTAAATTCTGCAAGAGAATTTTGAATGTGTTAACAAGTTTTTAAAGTTACAGACCAATTATAATTTTTCTCATTGATAATAAAGTCACTTTGCATGGTTTTAGTTAGCATATTCACTTCTCTGGTCTGTATATGCAAAGCAAACACTGTCTATATAGAAATTTTATAGCTGGTCATAGGAGAGGAATTCACTGATATTTACTGTACTCTACATTCCAAATGTAAGCATCAGATCATACCCAAACATTTAATTTAGAAACGCAGTCTTCTAAGTACTTGTATCATACTACTATGTATTATTTCAATCTTTGTTTGTATCCTTCCAATTCACAGAAATTATGAATGCATATTGATAATATTTTTGGTAGACAAAAAAATAGAAGCAACAGCTATAGATAACAATTTACAATGCATCCCTTAAAGGTTTGTAATTTGGCAACTGCTGACATAACTGTTTGACTTGCTACAAATCCATTTCCTATCTGTGTAGGTCCTGGCACTACTGATTCCATTGTCATTTAGATAGGCACATTCTCCAACTCCTCTGATGCCAAACCTAAAACCAAATGAAAACATATTAAATATTACTAAGTTCGACATCTATATTTCTTCTTCTCCTCTAAACTCCATATATTTTACTATGAATAGAAGAGCAAAAGCTTGTCATTGATATCTCTCCTTAGTAAGATGTACCATTTCTGTATTTAGTTTCCTTTATGTTTTCAGGGTCCTTGCTTGAAAATCCTAAGTTCATTATTCATTCATACCAAACCCAGGTATATTGTTGATTAGGTATTTAGCTGGTGATCCCTACTGTATCCAAAAGAAATATTGCCATCAGTGGCCTTCAGTTTTAGCCTTCTCTTGAACTATTTCATAAATATGTGAAAATAACTTTTTTTTTCTTATTTAGTAAGTTCCTAAAAGGGCTTATTATCTTTGATTAAGAGATGATTGAGTTCCTACTTTTTATCTCCTCCATTTTAACAGTTACATTCAAAATACCCCATTAAAATATTCACAGTCCAAGGAACTGTTACTAGGGTCCTTCTGGCACTAGAACTTTGGGAGAGATTCCTTTAGTTTCAACAGATGAAGGTGAAATTAAGTCATACCAGAAGTTCTTGAGCCCCTGGTAATCATTTTTCCCATTTTGCTTTACAAAAGAATCCTATTTCTTGACTTCACAGACTACTTTGTTTTTGAACTGAAACTGAACTCTGAGCTGTTTCTTGCAAATTGCCTCTACTAAAGGAAAACAGAACTTAAGCTCAACCAACCAAAGAGCAGCCAAAAAATAAACACTTTCAACAGAACAGAACAAATAAGACACTAATTTCTTTCTTCTGCTTCCACATTTTCCCCATGAGGGCTTACTCCTGTCAGTTAGAACATTAAACCCCTATCAGTTCGGCGTTTCCCAATTCATGAATTGCTTCTTACTCAAACTTCTAAAAATTGTTGTGCCTCAGATTTCCCTTTAATGAGGTACCAAAAACATCTCTGTACTGTATTGATTGTACTTTGATTCCTAATTCAAAATAAAAATCTGAATCCAAATGAGAGATCAACTTGGTATTTATTCTTAAATCAAACATATTTTGATATAATTGCAGATCCACATGAGATTTTAAGAAATAATGGATGGAAATTATCCAATGTTCTCTACTAATATGAAACCAGTAGATAATCTAATGCATGCCCGCAGAGGAGAATAACTCATTTTAATTCAAGTTGGGAGGAGTAGTAATGTGCCCGCGACATCTGGGCAGATCTGTCTCCCTAATGGTCTGGTACGGACAGATACTCACCCCCAGGAAGGCCCTGGCTTGGTGTCACTCTCTTCAGCTCCCGGAGAAGTTGCCTTCTTCTTTCGCGCTTTTCTGTTCTCAGGTGACTGCTTCTCTTTCACCCCAACCCGGGAGCGCTACGAAAAGGCAGAGCGAGGATCCCAACACAGGGAACTTGAACTCTCGCTCCTCCCTAACACTGGGATTCCTGGAGCCCATCCAAGCACCTCCCAATCCCGCCAGCTCCAAACATCGGCAGACGGCCAAAGAAGCTGCCTCCCCGCCCCCTGCTCCCCTGGCCGGGGCCTCCTCTCTCCCCTCCGCGCTGGGGGACTTGAGGTCAAGGCGGTGCGGGGCGCAGCCGGAACAGCACTGTGCCCGCCGGAGATGGCATTCAGTCTTTGTGCTCTTCGCGGCGGCTGAGCGGAGCAGGCGCAGAGACCTCCTGCGCTCCTAGTGTCTTATTACCTTTCTTCTCACAGGCCAGACAAAGGAGCACCCCTCTCCAGCGACTGTCCGGGATGTCCTTCCTTCTTTCCTTCCTTCCTCCCTCCCTCTCTCCCTGCCCCTTTCTGTTCCTCTCATTTCATTTTTTTTTTTTTAGACAGAGACTCAAGCTGTCCCCCTGCGTAGAGTGCTATGGCATCACAGCTCACAGCAACCTCCAACTCCCGGGCTCAAGCGAGTCTCCTGTCTCAGCCTCTCAAGTAGCTGGGACTACAGGCGCCCGCCACAACGCCTGGCCATATGTTCCTCTCATTTCTCTCTCTCTTCCTCTTCCCCCTACCCCCCTACAGCAGCTCCACCTTCTGTTTCTTTCCTTTCCTTTTATTTCTTTTCTTTTGTTTCTCAAATTCCAAAAAACAGACATGAAAGAATCTGATTTCAGGGCCTTATTGCATTTTGACCACGTTTCTCAGAGATTACCATCCAAGTGAATGCAATATAAGTACATAACTATTATATATGTAGAGAGAGAAAAAATTAAATACCTAAGCATAGGCTTGTTAGTTCCCAGAACTGCATTCAGAATTCTCCTGTCCTCAGCAGAAAGGCACCTCTACCTCAGCCTTTGCTGCCCTTCCTATTTAAAACAGAAAGCTGAGATTATGTAAACAAGCACATAGCCTAGAATTCTTTTTTTAACGCACATGCATAGAATGTAAATTATTTGGCTTTTGAGGAAAAGGATAGTTTGCAAAGGGGGCTGGTGAAGATCTGCTTACATTCTCCCCAAAATAGGAAGTCCGTCCTGACACTGGGCAGCTGGGCTTCGGATGGCAGAGACAAGGCTACAGAAGCCAGCCACCACTCTGCTATCCCCTCGAATTCCCAAACACCGCAGATGCATCTCCACTCTCCTGCTGCCCACCGGTGCTCTCCCTTCAACATTCTAGTTAAATCCTAGCTGTTTGTTCATTGCTTTGGTCATTTCCTGACCTACAGCACCTGGTGTCTGTAGGCAGTCATCTCACTGACATCATTTAGTTACAATTTTAGATGGCATAGTTCAGAATGTAATAGTAATCTTCTATGATAGTTACCTATAAGTACACGGTTTTTATAATTCTTATTTTCTATTTTATGCTTATTCTGATTATATTTATTGATGTAGAATTTTATGACTGTGGATCTAACTTGTAAATGTGTTTATATTTTGTATGTCTTTTTTAAATTTTCTATTTCCATAGTAATTATTTATTGTATATTACAAAAAAAACCAACCTCTGATGGATTAGGGGTCAAACAGATATTTCATTACACATCAAAATGCAATGGTACTTTATTTAATTCTCATAATAATAATCTTATCTCTCATTTAATTCTCACATTATTCTCATTTTATTAAAGAAAAATTGGAGCTTAGCAAGTTTAATAACCTTCTCATTGTTACATACATACTGTGGGAGGGCTTGATCCAAAGCTAGATCTGTTAAATTATAATGCACATAAGTTGACCATTACACTACCAGAAATGGAGTCATACATTTTTTTTTCATTTCAGTCTAGTATAGTAGGTTTCAAATGAGCAGGGAGAGTGGACTTTCCCTGAAAGCCATGGAGCTTTTATAAACTAAAATGTACTCTCTATAACAGCATGGATCACTAGTAAAATCAACTCTCATTAACAATCTCTAGATAAAAATTGTATTACTAAGCTGAAGTATATCAAACATTCACAGGACAAAGTATTAATGTACTACATTATACCTCATCATACAGTGTTATTGCATCATTTGGAAATGTATACAATCTTTTATTTGATAAGTGTTCCCGTGTGCCTTCTAGACTCTGGGCACAAAAGAGCTATGAACAAAAGAGGAAGAGTGTTTGCTGTCTTACACCTCTCATGTAAACACAACTTCGTAAATGTATGAAGTTGGTGTGATGAATTATCTGGAAAGCTACATTAGATTTAGTATCAGGGAAGGCGTCCTTGAAAAATGTGAAGTCTGTAGAATGAGTACCCCACACCTTGAGACTAGCAGGAGGAAGAGGCCTGAGGAAGGAGAAACTGGCCTGTGCTAGGAACAGAAAGTTTTGGGGGGTCTAATATGATCAACTTGGCAACACAGATAGGAATGGAGAAGGACAAGTGGTCGGAGTTGAGGCTGGACACACACAAAGGTGCAAGGTCCTATTGGACCTAGTAAAACAGAGGATATTTATTTTATCTAATGACAATGGAGAGCTATTGAAGGGTTTTAGGTAAAGGAAAGATTTTTTTTTACTTTTATATTTTAGAGGATAACCCTGACTGGTAGGTTGAAATGGTTTATAGCAGGGTCCTGGGGGGAACCACACTAACAACTGTTAGTCTAGTGTGAATGTGTTAATATAGAAGTGAAGACATCCAAGAAGAAAATGATAAAGTACCTTCACATTTAGAGGAAAACAGAGAAAAACTTAACAAATGAGAAACTCTGATCCTTGAAGTAGGAAAAGCAGTAGAACAATGTGGTGCTTTGGGAAAAACATAGTGGAAAGACATTGACAGGGGCTACTTCGTTTATTGGATTCCTCTTCTTCGGTTTCAAGTAAAGGGAAAAATATCTAAATTTCCCACTTATTGTTTCTGGGAATAATTTATTTTAGTAATGAGCCATAAAGAATGCAAATAGCATGCAGGGAGCTAATACAATAGTATTATTGTTATTTGTGTTATTTGCCACTATCAGATAAAAATTGCACTGCCTAGAGTTCAAAAGGGAGAGAAGATTTTATTCAAGACTATTGGAATCGGGATCAGGACTATTCCCATAAGGCAGAGAGATTGAATTCAACTCTGCTAAACAAAAGTCAGGAGAGTTTGTAAGCACCCTAGGAGTGTGGTAGTGGAAAAGTCTAGAAGAATGTTGAGAGAGAAGGTGGCACAACATGATTAAGGCATCTATCCATCTGTGTTTTCTAATTGGACCTGTGGAAGTTAAACTCCTACCTTCCAACAAGATGGAGAGACAGCGGAAATAGCTTGATAATTATTTCAAAAAGATGACTCCCAGATCCTCAAGAAGATATTCCTAAGTTGTAAAACTGGCAAGAGGATAGAGAGAAAGATTAAAATCTTGATGGGAAGAGAGAAAGAACTTAACAATAGTAAGTTTTCTACAGTAAGTACTTTAAGAGAGGTCAAGGGGTCCTAGTCAGGAAAAAACCTATCTAAAAGTTAGTCAAGCTGAGAGGAACCTAGTGGGCCTGATTCTCATATATATATAAAATCTTATTCAGAGGAATCTTAATATTAACTCACTTTCACAATTTTTAATAAAAGACATAACAACATTTTATCTAAATTTGCAAAGTCTAAACAATGTGGACTTATATTTTGTGTTGCAAGCCCCTAAAAGACTCTTAGTAATGCAGCACAGTCAGTACTGGGTTGATCTACTACTTAGCCATACTACTTAACCAAGAACAAAGCTACCTTTTTAGGTACTAGGGCAAGATTGAAGAAAAACTATGATGTTGGCCACATTTTGCTTTAGTTCTTCTTTCTCCTTATGTTTTGGTATTTCTGGAATTATAATAGTAACCAGTGGTACTGTAGGCTATGAAAGGAGCCTGGATTTTGGAGTTAGGAAACAGAAGTTCACTTTTCCCCTTTATTCACCTGTAAAAGCCGGAAAATAATACCTGAAAAATTTAGGTATGGGGGAATCAAATGAAACAATGTGAATTTAAACATTTTACAGTAATTTTAACTTCCTGCTTTCAGTATGTAGAAATGCTGTGGACTGGCAAGAAAGGTATTGTAGCACCCTCTGTTGGGAATTATTGGTAAATTAACTTGGAAAAAGTGCTATGAAGGGTGGACCAGGTGCTGGTATTGGTGGCATCAGTGAATAGCTTCCCAAAGGGAGTACTTTGAAGATGACTGTCATGATATTCAGCAGTGAGGTATGTAGCACATTTTCTATGATGAGTTTGCAAACTTAAATGTTCCTAACAATTGTATTCCAAATTTGTGTGATCTATTATTAGAAAAATTAGTTCAGAGAATTTCTTTATTGACAGCTCTTACATGGAATGGCAGAGGAAAGTCAGAGAAATATTTCTAGTTTCTATAATTCATCTGGGGAAAAGGGAGCTGGAGATAAGAGGACAAGAGACGGTCAGAGAGCGATCTTGCTTCTGAGGCCCTTTCAGTGCTCTTCAGTACTACAAAGTACTCAGCATGTCAAAGTGCCAAACTTCCCAGAATACTTTTCCTGAGCTCCAACAAATTTAAGCACATTTATCAAAATCTACCTCCAGAACTATGCCTACCCTTCTACCCTGGGATAGCTTAGTACAGTCAATATAAAAATATGAATAAATTTGACCTGAAATAGATAAAAATATTAAATAACTGTATAAGATAAAATGTAAAAATAAGTAAATATTATTTTACCTATTAAATTAGCAAATATTAGAGAAATAGAAAAGATAGTGTTCAAGAGTTTAGGTACCAGGCCGTGCTGCTTATGGTGGTGCTGGAGAGGGGGTGGTGCTGAGGTGCTGGGTATGAAGTGTAACAGAACAGACTTTACCACCTGAAACTGCTGCTTCAAGTTTAGATGAGGCAAGGAACAAACCTCGTCACAACTAGCAAGACTAAAAAAGAGTACACTTAAGTTGAAAGCACAACACTTGATCTGAAATAAGAAGTTTGTGCCCACTCAACGGCTTTGGTAGAGCACTTCCCAATGCTTCTAGTAGTCTGTTCTCTTCAGTGCTGTACTGTTGGAGTGCCTGGTACAGCAGTAGTTGTATTTTTTATTATTAACTTCTCTTGCTCTTTTTTTTTTATATTCAGAACTTTAATCCT